TGAATGAGGTGTGAGTGAGGAGTGAGGTGTGAGGGAGTGAGGTGTGAATGAGGTGTGAGTGAGGAGTGAGGTGAGGAGAGTGAGGTGTGAGTCAGGAGTGAGGGGAGTGAGGAGTGAAGTGTGAGTGAGGAGTGAGGTGTGATTGAGGAGTGAGGTGTGAGTAAGGAGTGAGGTGTGAGGTGTGAGTGAGGTGTGAGTGAGGTGTGAGTGAGGAGTGAGATGTGAGTGAGGAGTGAGGTATGAGTGAGGAGTGAGTTGTGAGTGATGAGTGAGGTGTGAGTGAGTTGTGTGAGGGGAGTGAGGTGTGAGTGTGAGTGAGGAGTGAGATGTGAGTGAGGTGTATGAGGTGTGAGTGAGGTGTGTGAGGGGAGTGAGGAGTGAGGTGTTGAGTGAGGAGTGAGGTGTGAGTGAGGGGTGAGGTGTGAGTGAGGTGTGAGTGCTGTGTGTGTGGTATGAGTGAGGGGTAAGGTGTGAGGTGTGAGTGAGGTGTGAGTGCGGTTTGAGGGGAGTGAGGTGTGAGTGAGGGGTGAAGTGTGAGGAGTGAGGTGTGTGTGCTGTGAGTGAGGTGTGAGTGAGGGGTGAGTGAGGTGTGTGTGGGGTGTGAGGGATAAGTGAGGTGTGAGATGTGAGTGAGGTGTATGAGGCGTCTGAGTGAGGTGGAGTGCTGTTTATGAGGGGAGTGAGGTGTGAGTGGGGTCTGAGTGAGGTGTGAGGTGTGAGTGGGGTCTGAGTGAGTTGTGAGTGGGGTGTGTGAGGGGAGTGAGGTGTGAGTGGGGTTTGAGGGATAAGTGAGGTGTGAGTGATGTGTGTGAGGGGAGTGAGGAGTGAGGTGTGAGTGAGGAGTGAGGTGTGAATGAGGTGTATGAGGTGTGAGTGAGGTGTGAGTGAGGTGTGTGAGGGGAGTGAGGGGAGTGAGGTGTGAGTGAGGAGTGACGTGTGAGTGAGGTGTGAGTGAGGAGTGAGGTATGAATGAGGTGTGAGTGAGGAGTGAGGTGTGAGGGGAGTGCGTAGTGAGTGAGGTGTGAGTGAGGAGTGAGGTGTGAGGGGAGTGAGGAGTGAGTGAGCAGTGTGAGGTCTGAGTGAGGTGTGAGTGAGGTGTGAGTGAGGAGTGAGGAGTGAGGTGTGAGGTGTGAGTGAGGTGTGAGTGAGGTGTGAGTGAGGAGTGAGGTATGAGTGAGGAGTGAGTTGTGAGTGATGAGTGAGGTGTGAGTGAGGTGTGAGTGAGGTGTGTGAGGGGAGTGAGGTGTGAGTTTGAGTGAGGAGTGAGATGTGAGTGAGGTGTATGAGGTGTGAGTGAGGTGTGTGAGGGGAGTGAGGAGTTGAGTGAGGTGTGAGTGAGGGGGAGGTGTGAGTGAGGTGTGAGTGCTGTGTGTGTGGTGTGAGTGAGGGGTAAGGTGTGTCGTGTGAGTGCGGTTTGAGGGGAGTGAGGTGTGAGTGAGGGTTGAAGTGTGACGAGTGAGGTGTGTGTACTGTGAGTGAGGTGTGAGTGAGGGGTGAGTGAGGTGTGTGTGGGGTGTGAGAGATAAGTGAGGTGTGAGATGTGAGTGAGGTGTATGAGGGCGTCTCAGTGAGGTGGAGTGCTGTTTATGAGGGGAGTGAGGGTGTGAGTGGGGTCTGAGTGAGGTGTTGAGGTGTGAGTGGGGTCTGAGTGAGTTGTGAGTGGGGTGTGGTGAGGCGAGTGAGGTGTGAATGGGGTGTGAGGGATAAGTGAGGTGTGAGTGATGTGTGTGAGGGGAGTGAGGTTGTGAGTGAGGAGTGAGGTGTTAATGAGGTGTATGAGGTGTGAGTGAGGTGTGAGTGAGATGTGTGAGGGGAGTGATGGGAGTGAGGTGTGAGTGAGGAGTGAGGTGTGAGGGGAGTGAGGTGTGAGTGAGGAGTGAGGGGAGTGAGGTGTGAGTGATGTGTGTGAGGGGAGTGAGGAGTGAGGTGTGAGTGAGGAGTGAGGTGTGAATGAGGTGTATGAGGTGTGAGTGAGGTGTGATTGAGGTGTGTGAGGGGAGGAGGAGGTGAGGTGTGAGTGAGGAGTGAGGTGTGAGTGGCGTGTTGAGGGAGTGAGGTGTGAGTGAGGAGTGAGGTGTGTGAGGTGTGAGTGAGGTGTGAGTGAGGAGTGAGGTGTGAGTAAGGAGTGAGTGAGGTGTAAGTGGGGTGTGAGGTGTGAGTGAGGTGTGAGTGAGGAGTGAGGTGTGAGTGCTGTGTGTGACCGGTGTGAGGGATAAGTGAGGTGTGAGATGTGAGTGAGGTGTGAGTGAAGTGTACGTGAGGAGTGAAGTGTGAGTGAGGAGTGAGGTGTGAGTGAGGGGTGAGTGAGGTGTGAGTGAGGTGTGAGTTAGGGGTGAGGTGTGAGTGAGGAGTGATGTGTGAGTGCTGTGTGTGAGGTGTGAGTGGGGAGTGAGGTGTGAGTGAGGTGTGAGTGAGGTGTAGGTGAGGTGTGAGTGAGGTGTGTGTGAGGTGTGAGTGAGGTGTGTGTGAGGGGTGAGTGAGGAGTGAGGTGTGAGTGAGGTGTGAGTGAGGGGTGAGTGAGGAGTGAGGTGTGAGTGGGGTCTGAGTGGGGTGTGTGAGGAGAGTGAGGTGTGAGTGGGGTGTGAGGGATACGTGGGGTGTGATTGACGTGTGTAATGGGAGTGAGGAGTGACGTGTTAGTGAGGTGTGAGTGCTGTGTGAGGAGAGTGAGGTGTGAGTGGTGTGTGAGGGATAAGTGTGGAGTGAGTGATGTGTGTGAGGTGTGAGTGGGGTGTGAGGGGAGTGAGGAGTGAGGTGTGAGTGAGGAGTGAGGTGTGAATGCTCTGTGTGAGGGGTGAGGTGTGTGAGGGGTGTGAGGGATAAGTGAGGTGTGAGATGTGAGTGAGGTGTGGGTGAGGTGTGAGTGAGGTGTGAGTGAGGTGTGTGAGGGGAGTGAGGAGTGAGGTGTGAGTGAGGTGTATCAGTGGTCTGAGTGAGGTGTGAGTAAGGAGTGAGTGATTTGTGAGTGAGGTGTGTGTTACGTGTGTATGAGGTGTGTGTGTGAGTGAGGTGTATCAGGTGTGCGTGGGGTGTGTGTGACGCAAGGCCGTAATTATAATATATATTCAAATATGCTCAAAATGTCCCCCCCCCCCCAATATTATGCTATAAAAAATCATTGCTATGCTACGTAAATTAAGCAACAATTTGCTAAACCTTGGCCACAATATCTGGACTTGTCTTCATATAAATAAATGCTCATAGATTTCTGTTTATATGATTGTGGTTATGGTTGTACTTTATTAATCCCTCATCTCTGCCATTACATACAATGAAACATGAAATGGTAAAAAAGTTAAAACAGAGCAATGTAATACAATACACTATTAGACATTGTAAAAAATAAATAAAAAGTCCATCCCATGTGTTAGTGAATTTTTTTATATTTATGCAGGAAATAGCAGGAGATGAGTTTTCAAATGTAGATATTTTTCTGGGTTGGGACCCCCAGACACCCTGGAAGATTTGGTCCCCCCAATGTTGACTCCATGGCTACGGCCTTGGTGTGAGGGGTGAGTGAGGTGAGTGTTATACTGGTAGGAACGAAGTTGTAAACTGAGTGTACCAGCCTGCAATAGATTAATGTGTCCGTCCGTCCGTCCCCTTTCAATACTTTAACGAAGTGAAATCTCGTGCTGTTGGGTGTAAAATCAGCAATAGACAGCGCAGAGACTTGTCCTACCAGCCCACTCTGCAGGGACCTGTTTCTCTTTTTTTCAAAGGAAACCAAGTCGCGCCTGTCGGCCACATGAACAGCGAGTCGTGCGGGACTCCACTCTGCTCGTGTCGCTTTCCCGTCCTCTGCTGGCGAGCCATGGAACAGCACGTTTAACATCGCTAATCAGCGCTTGAATTCACGCAAGGCCCTTTCGGACCCATGCGCTTTACCTTAAACAATGCGAAATCAACCCCAATTAAACTTGGAGAGTTGAATAAAGTTCAAAAGACCTCACAAACAAATACTTTGTGAAGTTTCCAACGCAGCAGATTCCTAGGTTTTTATGTTTCACAGCAATAAACTGATGAGTTCGATTCCCAACTCAGTGTGGAGTTTGTATGTTATCCCCCTGTTCTACATGGCTTTACTCCGGATTATCTGGTTTTCTGCGATAGCTAAACAAAAAGTACAATGTAACTGGTATTAGCCAAACATCCCAATGCTGAAAACCTACAATGTAAATGAACTCAATTGGGATCGCACAGCAGTGACATCGCTCCCTACTGCAATACACTTGGCAGGACCCTCCTGAGCGAGGGTTTGCTGGGTGTAAATAAGCGCAGTGTTGGTGAATTGGCAGCGGTGGTGCCTCTGTCATCTGTAGTGACGGGCAGCTCTGGTAGCTTCTTCTGAGCGTGCTGTTGTAACCTCTCTCCGCGATGGCTTTGGTATGGAGATAAAACTTGGTTCCGTCCCTGGATGCTCCCCAGAGCAGCTCATACATCCCAAATAGAAACTCAGAATAGAGTCTGTAATAAAGGGTTTTTTTGGGTGAGATCTCGTAAATATTAAATATGTCGTTAATTGGCACGTTTTGTTTACGTGACAAAAACCTTACTAATTGCACTCTGGCGGGCTAGTCAGAGGTGAAGGCGCTACGAGCGCTTCCCACAGTTCTTGACGACCATTCCTTGCCTTATGCCATCCCACCGGCTGCAAGGGACATGCTACCGCGAGTCTTCGCTGAAATGGCGGCTATTTACGATCCGCCGTCCACCGTCCGACACAGGTTCACCACACGGAAGCGAGGGGAGGCCGAGATGCCCCTTGCTTTCCGCAGCACCCTAGTGTCGTTGGCACAGGCAGCGTACCCCAAGATGGACCAAGCAGGGGTCGATTCGTTGGTGCTTGAATGGCTGCTTGCGCTGGCGCAGGAGCTTGACGTCGTCTTGCCAATGACAGAAGAGGACGATTTGTCGTCCCTGCGGATCACGCGGTGCATACAGGCGCACCTTTCACCAGAAACGATGTGCTGGGATGTTGGCGTGCGCCGCTCCTACAGGGATGCTGAACGTGCGCAAGGACAACAAGCCCGCGCAGGCCTGCGCGTCGGTGACCGACAGGAGCTGGCGATCGGGTGACACGGAGCGACGAGGGAGGTGCGACCCTGGAAGGAGAACCTTCCCTCGCCCGGAGAGTGGTCAAGTCATCTGCTACCGTTGCAGACTGCCGGGACACATCTCTCTTGGTTGCCATGCCACACGGGGGACAACACGCCAGACTGCCATCGCCGTCGTCTTCCCCTCGGCCAACCCCATCTCTGCAAGTGTCCCCAAACAAGTCGCGGCACACCTCACACTCGGTCCTTGCAGTCACTTAACTCATCACGCTCGGGCGTCAGTTCGTGTTCGTCCGGCGTTCACTCTCGTCGGGTTGCACAGCGGGAGAGTCGGGTGTTGCCGAATTAAGGATGTCCTCTACGACCTGTTCAGAGGTCGGAATTGACCCATCGTGTCATTGCCGCGGCGGTGGGATCGTCGGCTGTAATTTTGACAATACAGGGGGTGGAGGTACGCATGCTAATTGACACAGGAGCATCCGCTACCATCATTTCTGCTACGATTTTTTATATTTTCCCCCTGAAATCTCGCGCCCTGTCTCTTGTTAACATTCCATGTTTAGCCATGAATGGCGGCTCATTGGGAATTGTGGGTTAAATTTCGGTGATGGTGGGTATTGGGGACATCCAGTTGACAGGACCGGTTCTCGTTTCGGAATCCCTGGCCGTACCCTGTCTGCTGGGTATGGATTTTTTTTGGCTAAGATGCCCCTAAAAATCCTCGTAGACCATTGTTGTATTGAATTTCCCTCTGGCCGTAGTATGGCATTTTTATCTTCCCCCACCCGGTTGCGCACGGCACACACCATGGTTCAGGTGCTGGCGAGCAGAACGGTTGTTATTCTGCCTAGCGTGCAAATGTTGGTGCGGCTGCGTAAGCAGTTCGACAAGGTGGACACCGCCGGGAGGATCCTGTTAGGCCCCTCGAATACAGCGACCTGGGGTTTAACATTTCTGGGTGCGCAAACACTCGTTTCCAACGACCGGGAGCCCTTTATCCAAGTCCTTAACGCAGGGTTAGGCGCATCCGTGATACAGGAGGGCACCGTCCTGGCCCACACGTCGGCTGCGGGTTGCGACGGGCTCATTGTCGGGGGTGTGAAGGTTGGGTCGACCCCGGAGAAAGGATCCGAGGGTGGGGAGAAGTGGGTTGAGGATCCCTGCTCCGAGAATCCCGAATTGTCCGACATGCAGAGGGCTGAGTTACGTTCACTCTTGCTAGAGTTCTCTGACATTTTCAGTAAAAACAAATACGACGTGGGCCGTACTACCCTTTTGAGCCACCACATTGATACGGGAAACACGGCTCCAGGTTAAGCCCCAAGGAAAAAGAACATGTGCATCAGGCGGTCGACGATATGTTGGCTGCTGACATCATTGGCCCTTCTAACAGCCCGTAGGGTGCTCCCATTGTTCTGGTGAAAAAACACAACGGGAGTTTGCGTTTCGGCATTGACATTCGCAGACTTAACAAAATCTCTGTGGCTGACACGTACCCCCTACCACGTATATATGACTCGTTTGATGTTCTGTCGGGGGCGAGGTTCTTTTCCCTGCTTGATCTGCTGTCAGGATTTGGCAACTGCCCCTAGATGACAGCTCAAGGCCCAAAACTGCGTTCCGTACGCCACTAGGGCTTTTCAAGTTTAACCGGCTTCCGATGGGTCTCCGCTCGGCTCCAGCTACATTCCAAAGGCTCATGGAGTTGGTATTCACGGGGCTCCAGTGGGATTCCTATTTAATATTCTTGGACGATGTCATTGTCTTTGGTCGCACGTTTGGAGAACATCTACAGTGATTGCGAGCGGTCTTTCTTAAAATGCGGGCCGACAACCTAAAATTTTAACCCCAGAAGTGCCACCTGCTCCAGAAGTCAGTTCGATACCTGGGCTACATTGTAAGTGAGACGGGGATAGCTACTGATCCCCATAAGACCGCGTGCATACGAACATGGCCGACCCCGAAATCTGTAGGGGAGGTGCAAAGTTTTGTTGGATTCGCCTCCTACTACCGTCGGTTTGTGCCCGGATTCACTGCCACTGTGAAACCCCTCCACGCTCTCACGACCAAAGGTCAAACATTTCACTGGGGGGATGAGGAGGAGGCAACATTTCTTGCGCTCTGAGACGGGTTGGTTAACGCACCTCCCCCGCTTAGATACCCCGGATTTTCACTGCCCTTTCTTCTTGATACAGACGCCAGCAATACCGGCATCGGTGCCGTGCTATCGCAGATAGTGGACGGGGTAGAGAGCGTAGTAGCGTATGGCAGCAGAGTCCTTTCACCGGCCGAGCAGCGCTATTGCTTCACGCGATGGGAGCTGCTGGCCATGGTACCGTCCGTACCTTTATGGCAGGGCCTTTGAGGTACACACAGACCATGCCGCTCTTCAGTATGCGTTGCGTATTGAACAGCCATCCGACCAGTTCTCCTAATGGTTAGACATCCTGCAGGACTACTTGTTTATAGTTTCCTACCGGAAGGGTGCTCGGCATGTATATGCGGATGCGCTGTCGCGACTGCCGCCGGGTGACGGGTGCGCGTGTCTCATTGGATCGGGCCACTGTAAACCGGCTTTGGAGGTGTCATCTCCCTCCTTTGTGGCGTCGGCGGATGTTCCACCGCCCGACTGTTCAGATGCTCCGGAAGCATGCGATTCCTCCATTGGGTTGTCCCATGCTGATTGGGGGCGCCTCCAGGCGGAGGATGCCTCCCTGTTAAAATTGTGACGCCGCGTCGTGGATGCCAGGGACGGGGGGGACTGCCACGGAGTAGCCTGCTCATTCTTAAGGGGGGTCTGTTGATGCGCTGGGATGGCGGGTTGCGCTGCTATAGTATCGTTGTTCACAAGGAGCTGATGGGTAAATTAATTGTGGCGATGCACGAATGCCTAATGCACCTGGGTGTTTGTAAGACCCTAGCAACCCTCAGGTTAGACTTATTTTGGCCTGGAATGTCAGGTGATGTGTACAATGTTCTGAAGGGGTGTACACAATGCGCTCGGCAGAAACCACCGCTAAAAATGTGCTGCTGGCCCTTACAATCTATTCGGGTTTCCCGGATTAAAGAGCTCGTCACGCTTGACGTCCTTGGACCCTTTCGACCACTAGTGGGCGTCGAATATTTCTCTCGTTGGCCTATGGCCTGGCTGATTCCCAACCAGTCAGCGGCGGTTATTACGGAGGCGTTCCTTCACGGGTACGTGTTGGATAAGCGGGCCCCGGAGCGCCTCCTTACTGATCAGGGCAAAACATTTTCTTTGAAATTACTTAAGGAGGTATGTGACCTATTGGGCACCAAAAAGGTCCGTACGTCGCCCTACCACCCCCAGACCGATGAGATGGTAGAGCGTCTACACAGGACCCTGACTTCTATGCTGAGTCAGCAGGTCAGCAAGTCCCAGGGCGATTGGGATTTACATATCCCCGGGGTGCTCGCAGCCTACAGAACGGCCCCTCATGCGTCTACTGGGTTCTCGCCATTTTTTTGTATGTACGGCAGAGAGCAGGACCCGCCAATTGAGTCCAACTTAAGACGGGGCCGAGTAAGTCTAAGGTCAACATGTCCGAGCACATGCGCCTTACCCTGCCAGGCTTCCAGGCATAATTCTGCCTCATGGCAGTGGGCAAACGAAAGGTTGAGGCGACTCCGTGTGTCGGGCAGGACATGGGCTCCAGGTGACAAGGCTTGGCTGCACTGTCCTCAAGTGCCGGTGGGTACTTCCCCAAAATTGTACAAACCTTGGAGAGGTCCGGTCGACGTGATACAGGCCGACAGGCCTCAATGTGTGAAAATTCAGTTCGGCCGATGGTCCTGGTTTGTTCACCCGTCACGACTCAAACCGTTTGTTGCTCCGAGAGTGTCCCCTTTATCTCCTTTACCCAAGGGCCGAGTGTCCAGTGTGCCCGAGGAGCTGAGAAAGGCATCTGCTGAGGTCGTACCTCAGGGGAATTCTGTGCCGCCCACAGGACCGAAGCGTCTGACATCCTCGCCGGATGAGTCAACCACGGACGCTCAGCATGGAGCGGATCGCCCGTCAAAGAGCCGTTCTCCGCCGACTGTTGTGTCTTCTCGAGCGGGGCCGCGCCCATTAGGCCATGTTCAAATTCCCACCAGGTCTCCCAGGGAGCCCAGGCCCACCTCACCTGGGGGCCTGGCTACACGGACTCGTTCGAGGACTGCCAGATTCAAGTAACTCCCCTACACCGTGCAGTGTTCCCATGTAGTTTTGCTGCTTGTCGCACTCCTGAGTCGATCGGGTCATTGGCTGAACCTGGTCCTTCTCGTACTCAGGGGTGCTGTCACACACAGGGCGGGGATATGCTTTTGGGGTGGGGGGGAGCTGGGGTGCTGTACATTGGCAATGTTTTTTTTAATTGTGTTATTGTTGTCCTCTCTCTCCTCCATCTCTCTTTCTTTCCCCCCCCTTTTTTTCTAAATGTCTATACATTTTGTATATATAGTGTTTATTGCGCGGTCTGCGGTTATTTATTGATGTTAATGGTTGGGAGGCACATCCTTGCGTTGGCATTTTTGAGAGCCGGGACGGCTGTGTTTTAAGGATGGGGGGGGGGGGGATGGGGGATGATGTGGTGGCCTCGAGGGGACCACCGCGGTGTAGAGACAGTGCCGTGTGAGGGGTGGTACTGGAAGGGCGGAGCCCGGGTGTCGCTGAGAAGGGGGTCGCGTCAGGACGTGACCACGAGGTGAACCCAGGAGGACACGTGACCGGACGAGAGGAGGCAGGGAGGCCCCAGTCGGGGGTGAGAGGATCATGTGATGGAGATCCAGAGTCCCCACGAGAGTTCTGGAAGGGGGGCGTGGCCATGGGCGGAGCCAGCCAGGCCAGGGGAGTTATAAGCGGGGTCCCGAGAGGGATCGCGGCGCTCAACTCTGGGAATGAAGTCGCCATCCTCGATCCTCGTTCCTCGGTCTCCGGTCTCCACGTGTGGACCAGGCAGCCGTTAGCTGTCCGGGTCCAGCTATAGAATTGTCTCTCCGAGTGTCAGTTTAGTTAGCCGTGGTGGTCACCACCCTATGCTGTTATCCTGTTAGAGTTACCCGTTGTGTTCAATAAACGTTTTGCCTACAAGTACAAGTGTGCGCCTAAGTTAACACACTACAATAGTATATTGTAGTGTATAGTCATGTATAGTGTAGTGTATAGTCGTGTATAGTGTAGTTGTGTATAGTGTAGTAGTGTATAGTAGTGTGCAGTGTATAGTAATCTTGTTTTAGAGTCTGTCGCCAGGGAAAGAGAGGTCTGGACCGCCTTACTTAACGTGCTGTCGCCATGACCCTCACCAGAACAAGCGAACTGAGGAACGAAGTTAAAACAATTGTACAACCCCCTAGTGGCCAGGTGGCTGCTCAGTGGTAGAGCGAGTGGCTCACAAGGTTCCGAGTTCAAATTTTGATTGTGGAGGGATTGGCTGAGCCCACACATCTCTCTGGGGTCGATAAAATGAACACCACTTATGCGGAGGAGGCCAGCAAAGCAAGGGCTTGTTCGATAGAGGGACTCGGCCCCTGCCATATGGCTGTGTCGTTTTGACCACTGGTTTGGGGTGCAAACAGGAGATCAGCACCAATGCCTCAATGATCACTTGAACAGGAGAGATGTTTTTTTTTTCACTGACCAGCGTGGCTTTGCAAAGGCTGCAGATGAGTGTCTTCATCATCATCATCATGTGTTTAACATGGGGGCATCATTCTCAGCTCAGTATTTTTGAGCTGTTGCTATTTGCAGTGTCTGCACAAATACACACACAAGCCAAAGTCGATGCGAGATGTTTTGAAAAAAGGCTACCCGTCCGATACTTTTGTAGTGTCGTGTAGAATCACTCAATCGGACACGTTGTTCCAAGTCACCTGCTTACACTTTATTAACTCTCTCTCGTACCGGTTGGAGGCACTCCTATCTCTGTCCATGCGGTCACTTTGTTAACCAACTTCCCCTATCTACTTTACACCTCGCTGACCTGCCTGCGGCAGCTCTTCCTCTCAGCAGCTCCGCACTCACAGCTCCGCACACAGACAGCAGCTCACACAGAGCTTGCACACAGTCGTGCTCACACAGAGCTTGCACACAGTCGTGCTCACACACAGCTTGCACACAGCAGCGCTCACACAGAGCTTGCACACAGTCGTGCTCACACAGAGCTTGCACACAGCAGCGCTCACACAGAGCTTGCACACAGCAGTGCTCACACAGAGCTTGCACACAGTCGTGCTCACACAGAGCTTGCACACAGTCGTGCTCACACAGAGCTTGCACACAGTCGTGCTCACACAGAGCTTGCACACAGCAGCGCTCACACAGAGCTTGCACACAGCAGCGCTCACACAGAGCTTGCACACAGTCGTGCTCACACAGAGCTTGCACACAGCAGCGCTCACACAGAGCTTGCACACAGCAGCGCTCACACAGAGCTTGCACACAGTCGTGCTCACACAGAGCTTGCACCCCGCCGCTCTTCCTCTGCGCCGCTGCCCTTCGCCTACATTCCCTCAGACCCACTCACTCGTCCTATCCGGGCGGGGGGATCAACCATCACCCGCCCTGCGACTCGTGAGGGTTGAGGTCCGTCCCTGGCTTGAGCGGCGGCGGCGAGATGTCTTCACCTTGGTCCCAGAACCCGAACTCCCGCTCCGCTCTCACACACCCCCTTATATCCTCCTCCCAATTATCCAGCTCCTCCCTTGTGTCTCTTTTGGGCCCGACAGGCTAGCGCCTGACAGACCATCAATCACTCCTTATCGCACGTCTCCAAGGCAACACCTCCGATGTCAGCGTACGACCCTGGACCGACCCCGCTTGCAACCGAATCTCCCGTTAACGAGGTGGCGGTTTGCACGGGCAGCCTTCCGTTGCACACGCGCACCTGCCTGCCCTCGGTTGCCCTCGTGTAGCAGTGCGCACCGCGTATTTTACCACACTACACTTTTATTTTCGTAGCATGTCTCACAATGTCTGAGATAATTGATTTGACATATGACAAAGCAGTAGAGTACTTTGTAAACATCACCTTGGGCCAGATTTGTTGGTGGGAATTGGCATCTGTGTTCGGGTGGCAGGAATTGACGTGTACTAAGATCTGCTACCGGTATTTGCTTGTTGAACTTTATTACAGTAGACTGCACAGTTTTGACAGACCTAGGCCGATTGAGAAACATGTCTGGTGGAGGCCCTACCACTGACTCACTCATTCACTCAATGATTCACTCGATCACCCATTCACCCACTCACTCAACAACTCACTCGCTCACCCATTCGCTCATCTACTCACTCACTCAACAACTCAGTCGCTCAATCGCTCACTCATCCTCTGTCCAGGTTTGACCCAGACAATTTGGGGAATTGCCATCTGTGTTCGGGTGGCAAGGTATTGATTTGTACCGATATCTCGTACAGGTGTTGTGTGTAACTTTATGACAATATTTTGCAGTCTTGATAGACTTGGGCCAATTGACAAATCTGTTTGGATTTCAAAATCTTTATTTAGACTGGAGGAATTTGATGAGTTATGAAACTCTTTTTCAACGTTTTTATTCAACGGTTTTATTTAACTTGACTCCTATGTTTGTCGTGGTCAAATCTTGTAATCAAAATTTCGTCCACTTCCCGTTATCCAATCGATCCCAAATTTTGCACACGTACTCAGATCCGGAGACAATGCATGCCTGAATCAAAATCGGCATCAATTCATCAATTAATTGTCTCTGTTAAAGCAATTAATATTTTGTATGGAAGCCTTATTGGACGAGTGATTTGCGAACAGGTTTTGTGAAATGTTATTTTAATACCAACGTAGGAGTCGAGAGTTCGAAACTCGCCCGGAACATATTTGTTTTTACTATTTTTTGTATTTGTCCTTTTTTAAGGTAAAGAGTCACATGAAATGCTTCGGTGTCTTTACAAAAGTTGTTTATTATGATGTACAGTGAGGGAAAAAAGTATTTGATCCCCTGCTGATTTTGTACGTTTGCCCACTGACAAAGAAATTATCAGTCTATAATTTTAATGGTAGGTTTATTTGAACAGTGAGAGACAGAATAGCAACTAAATCCAGAAAAACGCATGTCAACAATGTTATAAATTGATTTGCATTTTAATGAGGGAAATAAGTATTTGACCCCTCTGCAAAACATGACTTAGTACTTGGTAGCAAAACCCTTGTTGGCAATCACAGAGGTCAAACGTTTCTTGTAGTTGGCCACCAGGTTTGCACACATCTCAGGAGGGATTTTGTCCCACTCCTCTTTGCAGATCTTCTCCAAGTCATTAAGGTTTCGAGGCTGACGTTTGGCAACTCGAACCTTCAGCTCCCTCTACAGATTTTCTATGGGATTAAGGTCTGGAGACTGGCTAGGCCACTCCAGGACCTTAATGTGCTTCTTCTTGAGCCACTCCTTTGTTGCCTTGGCCGTGTGTTTTGGGTCATTGTCATGCTGGAATACCCATCCACGACCCATTTTCAATGCCCTGGCTGAGAGAAGGAGGTTCTCACCCAATATTTGACGGTACATGACCCCGTCCATCGTCCCTTTCATGCGGTGCAGTTGTCCTGTCCCCTTAGCAGAAAAACACCCCCAAAGCATGTTTCCACCTCCATGTTTGACGGTGGGGATGGTGTTCTTGGGGTCATAGGCAGCATTCCTCCTCCTCCAAACACGGCGAGTTGAGTTGATGCCAAAGAGCTCCATTTTGGTCTCATCTGACACAACACTTTCACCCAGTTGTCCTCTGAATCATTCAGATGTTCATTGGCAAACTTCAGACGGGCATGTATATGTGCTTTCTTGAGTAGGGGGGCCTTGCGGGCGCTGCAGGATTTATGTCCTTCACGGCGTAGTGTGTTACCAATTGTTTTCTTGGTGACTATGGTCCCAGCTGCCTTGAGATCATTGACAAGATCCTCCCGTGTAGTTCTGGGCTTATTCCTCACCGTTCTCATGATCATTGCAACTCCACGAGGTGAGATCTTGCATGGAGCCCCAGGCCGAGGGAGATTGACAGTTCTTCTGTGTTTCTTCCATTTGCGAATAATCGCACCAACTGTTGTCACTTTCTCACCAAGCTGCCTGGCAATGGTCTTGTAGCCCATTCCAGCCTTGTGTAGGTCTACAATCTTGTCCCTGACATCCTTGGATAGCTCTTTGGTCATGGCCATGGTGGAGAGTTTGGAAACTGTAGGATTGATTGCTTCTGTGGACACGTGTTTTTTATACAGGTGTAGAGGAGTAGAATGGGGAAGTGGCATCACTTGTGCTGTCCAGGGCGATGACGTGACGTCATGTGCTCGGTGCAGCAGAGTGACGTCACGGCTCCTCAAGGATAAAAAGGGGACCCCGTGATGTAAGCGGGGTCGTAGCTGGAGAGTAGGGTCTGAGAAGGGTGGAACGGGGAGCCAGGGGCAAGAGGGTAGGGATAGGGGAGAGCACAGTGCCAGGCTAGATGTGGCTGTGCTCCTCGGTCAGCCGTGTTGGTTGATCCCACGGCCGGGGCAGAGGAGACAGCACAGGGCAGCCGGCTGTGTCGGGACCTAGCCCCGGACCCCTAACCCCTGGGGAGTTGTTCACCCCTGTGTATTGTTAAAGATTTGTAATAAAACCTTGGCAGAAGCCCTTACCTTACCTTAGCCTCCGAGTGAGTCGTCGGGAACTCCTTTACAACTGGTGTCAGGCGTGGTTACGGTGCCGTCGCTATGCCTAAATCGGGCGGGCGGCGTAAGAATCCACCGGCGGGACGCCGGGAGAGTGCTGACGACGTCGGGGAGGCTCCGGCTGCGACCCCGGGGCAGTCCGTCGCCATGGAGATGGACTCGGCGGGGTAGGTGGTGTCGGCGGCTGGGGGTCCCAGCGCACCACCGCCGGTGGCGGGGGGCGATGCCGAGGAGCGGTCGCAGCTGCTCCTGTGAGCGATCGAGCAGCTCACCGCCGCCCTTACAGAGGTGGGAGCGCGGACGCACCCACCCGGCCCACACTCCGCGTGGCACCGGCAGATTCCCGCCGCTTTGCCGCCCGCCAATTTGGAAGTTGGCGCCATTTTTCATGCGCCGCCGGAGGTGGCGACCATGTTGGTGGGGGAGC